AATAAAGGATTCTTCCACGAGAATATGGAATTGTGGGTTTCTTTCTTATGATCCAACGCACTGTAGCATCTTTCACCGAGAATATGGAAAGAATCCTATCTGTCCTTTATGAGTAAAGGCTGCAATCGAGTTGAAATATATGCGGAACGAAGAATGGCATTCAACTGCAACACTCGATTTTGGCAACTTACGAAAACAATTACACCTAATTTGACTTTATTATAAAAATCATATGTAGATTTCCCAAAACAGAAAACTCTTAATAGGGAGAAGGAAATTTCCAATTTAAAATAGCAGAATCAATCCTGATATAATGAGAGATGAGGAATGCATATGCTGATTTAGAGAAGTCGATTGTTCTTTAGAATCAGACTTCCATATCCATTTATCCTCATCAGGCTTAATAGTTAAATCAACATCAGTAATAAAAACAACAACCATATCACCCCCCCAAAAAAAAACTTCAAATTAATGTCATAATGCTTCACAGAAACCTTCAAATTAATTAGTGCAGGATTAATAAAAGTTGATTTAAAGGTAACATAAATATCAAAAAGCCAAATTGTCAAACATCAAACTAACATATTCTCCATTACCAATAAAGTGTGAAAAACTAGATTTGAGCTGATCTTGGGTGTGTTGGAATAAAACACAAAAGATCAGACATAATCTCTCAACATCCTCTATAGAATTCAACAATATAGTCATCTGAGCTTAGGACTCTTTTTTTATCATACCTAACGGAATGAATGGCATTCGAGGCCCCCTACCTTTGAAAAAGGGTGACAAGGGAAGCTCCCTCCTCGTTAGAGATACCAGGCATTAGGGGCCACCTGCATGCAACGCCTCCAATAAAAGGATGGTTCCAAAGTAAGTGATAAAAATTGACAAAAGCATTAATAATATCAGGCAGGTGAAAGATAACCTCCTCATTAACTTTTAACACAATGGATCCCTATTGGCTCTCTTTCTAATGATAATGAGATTATGATAGTATTTAGTGTTACAATCATCATTCGAAATCCATTTAGTTTTGAAGGTCTAATATTTCAAGTTAAACTATCTAAGAGTGCATGGAATAAATTGTACTGGATAAACGAGTCCCCTCCTGGTCGAAAGACCAATCGAGAAGTCCTTCGCCTCCAGGTCCCTAATCTTTCCTTCTACCTTGGTCGTGTTATCCTTAAGACGACCCAAAACAAGTCCAATTCCATTTGGACAAAATGCCTCTAAGGACTTCATAGATGCAAATATAGAGCGGCCCTCGACTCTCGTTGTCACTCTCCTCATCTACAATAGTCACCCGTGGCCCCCAGCGACACTGTCGTTTGTCACCATTGACGTCGTTCATCATCACCAACTAGAATGCTAAGATTATCTTTTTACCCTTTGTTTTTGTATTTTCGTTGATAAAACCGATAACATTACGATAAATGAATCTAAATGTTTTAACGTATGATAATGTAATTAGCCCATTATTATCACGAACTAATTTCAACTTCAGTCTTGGTTTGTAGTTCTTTAAGACAAACCAAGTGGCATCCTGCAAGGTCGCTGATGCCACTATCAGAACAACAACAAACATTTGGATCAGACGATGCCTTACTTCTAATAAATCTGGTAATAAAACCGACTTACAATTAGTGTTTTGCATCAAACAAAAGTCAGCAAAAACAAATCTGGAGATTAAGATAGTGAACTTGTAAAAGATTCAGTTTCAGAACTTGATACAGAGAACGTCAAAAGAGAAGCACCTTTGTGGGAGAAGGAAAGATAAAAATATAAAGAGCAAAAATTGTAATTAAAGTGTCCATTCAAGTGTTGTGCACCAATTAAACAAGATGATTCTAGATTTGCCTCTGAAAACAAAAATAAAAATTCATACCTTCAGACTGACATGGAAATCATAAGCTTCCCACAGAGAATGCCTCGAACTGTGCGTAGCTACAAGGGTCAGATGACCAACAAATAACATAGAAAAGGATATGCTCTCAGTACTGACCATTGTGTTGGTTACTTCAATGACTAATTGTGTAGCAGATAGAATGAACCAAAGATTAGATGTCTCCAGTATCAGAAGTAAACTAGAGCTGTGTGTTCCGTGGGTGCCCTTTGGCATCAGAATAAACCAAAGTATGTGATCCCTACACAAAACCACCAATTCTGAACAGCGTTACCTGTGCAAGAGGCTATGCAATTATGGTGTGGCATTGAGCATAAGAATTGCAATGATAGTATAAGTAGCGATCTCTGGAAAATTCATGCTGCTACTGTACGTTGTTGCAACATAAGAAAAAACAATACAGACTATGTTGCTTTTTAGATTGGTTACACCAAACAACATTCTCTACCAAAAGATGTGAGGGAATAATGGACAAAAAACTCAAAAAAACAAACGGACGAAGATAACCATTGAGAAGAGCATTAATTTTTCTTCCAAGAATTTCATCCATTGATATATATAATACAGATTAATCAGTTCTGCAAATTGTAGTAAAAGAAGATAACTATTGAGAAGAAGCATCAAACTTTTTTCTCAAGAATGACATCATATATAAATATATATCAAAACCAATCCAGATGCAAAGGAGCTACAGATTGCAACGGCTAAAGCATCTTCAAAGTGTAACCTAAATAAAAGGAAAAAACTATCGGGCCAAGGACATACATAATAGAGGAGGATATCTTTCCATTATAAAGTAAAAAAATAAAGACAGGGCACTTTGCCTGGTATCACAGGTACTAACTCACAATCAGGTTTTTGAAATCCTCAAGTAGGCAAGGCTTCATGGTCTTACGAATTAGAGGCCAAAGTTGCAGAGCTGGAGGAAGTCCATTTCGGTGTCAACATACTTCGTCCAGAGATGCTTGTATTGGTTCAGGGCCACATCGAGCCATGGTTTCATGTTCCCATCAAAGTGTATTACAGCTGCATTCTGAATCTCATCAACGCTTACACTTGGATTATAACCAAGGCCCATAACATGCCAATTCTTATCCAGTGGCTTTGTGGTAGTGTAGAAGGTGACTAGTCCTGCTGAAAGCACAGATGATGGGTTCCAGAGAGTTCCATCCTCATTCTATCATAAGGAGAAAGCATCAATCCAGATGTCAAGTAACTCAAGATTTGCTTAAAGAAGAATTTGAAGATATTGGCTAAATGTAATAAATAAATTGGGGAGAAAAAGAAATAGAAGCATGATAGTTAGCTAAAAAGTAAAAAGAGTGGCCATGTTTAAATATTTGGTTCATCAACACTGAGCTCAAATTTCAGTTCTATTTGAAGTCCTTAGATGAACTTCAAACAGTTTTTACTTCTTTGATTCCAGACTATGGAAAACCAAAGTAATTCAAAGTATTACATGCTTGAACCTACCAGTGGTCAATCGACTGTGGGCTTTAGTGATGTCCAATCAACTGCAGGAAACACTACTAGACCATTGATCATCAACCACGAACAAACTACCACTATTTCTTGAATGACTCATGGGACTGTACAACAATTGTTGACTTTGGCAATTTGTGGGTAAGGTAAGGGGCAAGCCTTGGCATGTTGCTCTTTATGACCTGCATGACTAGGGTTTGTATTGGGAAAGTAGCCTCCTTGAAGGGATAAGACTGTATTGCCAGACCCCTCATTGGAGAACTTATGCACCATCCCCCTTTTCTTTTTCTTTTTTAAAATTTGCCAACATCACATGTAAACATCTCCTAACAAATGAATTTGAAAAGTAGGAATCTCCTTAAAAGAAAATAAAGAAAGAAGACAAGATAATAACTCTAAACTAAACTAATACTAATACATGAAAACCAAATCATAATTCAAACATGGCATTAAAGGTCTACTACTACCACAACAACAACAAACCAGGATCGACCACAAGGATATTTAGCCACCCATGAATAAAAATATATTTTTTATTTTTCCTAGTGACTTCAAACATCCACCTCATGGTTCTCATGTCAAACACATAAATTTTTATATATTTTGTTTATTAATTATTCAATACTCAGATCCATAAAGTATAATTGATATAACAATTCTTTTATAAATTTTTACTTGATCACAAACTCCTCATTGCCTTCTTCACTCTAACTACTTAGTTTTTAATTGATAAGCGATATCTTCATCCACTTCTATTTTTTAAAATAATAAATCCAAGATACCTAAAACTTTTAATTATTGGAGTTTAATATATATCTTAGGTCTACTCACGAGACAAATAGTCCTATATAAATAGTAAACTCACAAGATACACTCTCTATGATTCAAATACAAGTGAATATATTATCATATATATATATATATTTTATAAATCAAGATAATTAGTGGATACATCTTTTTTTAAAAAAAGCTATCATAATTGCAACATGCAAATAAATTGTTTAGTTGTAACCATATCAAATATGTATGCTTAAATTACTCAATGAAGATTATCCAAAACCATAATTAAAATTTTCTAGTCCATTAGGTCTGGGAACAATACTAAGGTCCTAGATAAAGAAGGGCGCAAAGATAACGATGTGGACTGTACTGCTTATATGAAAAATGTTTGGATATTGCTAATATAACTTCAGCAGAAGAGAAACAGCGAATAAGAAGAAAATGACTAGAATAACTCTATGGTTACATCTCAATCAAAATTATTGTTGAGAGATTTGCAGGAAAAGGCAATATTAAGAAGTGCTTTTCAGAAACATTAGACATAAGTGGTAGAAGAAGAAGAAGAAGTCTCACCATTCTCTGGTACTGATGGAATTGCTCGGTGCATCCCTCTCTCCTCCATGCACCGAGGTCAAAGACGTTCACCCCATAGGCCCAGGCACATGTTCTGGGGCTGAATCGATCCCGGATTTCATGATTCGAGAAGTTCAAATACCTGCTGTATCTCCTGAACCCACCGAAGCAAGTTTCGACAGCCCCGTTCACCTTCCCATCCATATCGAGCCTCCACAGTTGTGCCAGATCCTTCTGCACCACTACATCGTCCTCCAAGAGCACAATTCGCCTCAGCTTAGGGTACATTTCGGGCAGGTAGAACCTCAGATGGTTGAGCACCGACAGGTCACCCCGCCCACCCTCAACCAGCCGGACCACTGGCGAATAAGAAGCGTTCAAGAACCCAAAGTCCGCGACAGACCTCACCTCCACCTTGGCGCCGCCAGCCGGTGGGCGGCGGACGAACCAGACCTGCATGGCGGGCAGGTACATGGGGTCGGTGACGACATGGAACACGTGCTTCCAGGGCTCCTCCGCGTTCTTGATGGCGGAGTTGACAGCCACGGAGACGGCAATCACGTTGTCGGAGAAGATGGCGTAGTGGTAGAGATCGGGGTCGGCGAGATCGGACGGGGCCGCGGCGGTGGCGCGGCGGTAGGGCTCGGGGTGAGAGATCCTCTCCTCCATGAGACGCATGGCGAGGCAGTGGAGGCTCTTGGGAGTGGATCCGGCGGCGATGGATCCGGCGAGTGTACCGAGCTTCTTGGAACGGTGGAGCTGCTCGCGGGCCGCGAAGATGGTGTCGCTTAGCTTCTGGATCTTGATCTGGGTGTCGAAGGCCTCCTTGGACTCGCCGACGAGCTGGCGGGCGAGCTTGACGCGGTCCTTGGCCTCTTTCTCGAGGGGGCGGAAGGCGTCCTCGTCGTCGATGGGGGCGGCGAGGCGAGCGGAGAGATCGGAGAAGGCTGCGGCGAGGCCCTCAAAAACGTGGAGCTGGCGAGAGGAGTCGAGCTTGAGGCGGCGAGCGTAAGCCGCATACGCAGTGGCAACGGCGGAGTGATCAGCGGCCTGGCGGTAGATTAGGTCGAGGCGGGCGCGGAGGGGGTCAGAGGCGAGGAAGCTGCGGCGGGGGACGGCGGCGGCGTCGGTCGTGTGGGAAGGGTAGGAGGAGAGGAGGACGGAGACAGCGGCGAGGCAGAGGAGGGTGAATACGGCGGAGGCGAAGACCTTGTAGGAAAAGAAGGCGCGGAAGCCAGTGGCGGGACGGGCGGAGCGGACTCCGGCCATTACAGTTTTCGACAGTGGTTCGCCACTTCGCGAGTTAGGGGCCTCAGCACCAGATCTTATACTGCTGCCCACTTTGGCCTGTGGCCACCGACGAGGAGATGGATTGGGGATGGAAGGTGGAGATCGCAGCCCCCAACGGCGTGCCGTAAAGTGGCGAGACCATTGACGTATGTCGGCGGTGGCGTGGGCCTCAGCATGGATACACGAAGTAGTCTGTTTGGTTGTTCTCCATTGGAAAAGATTAGAAATATGATGGAAGCATAATAAGAATATTAGGTACACTTACACAATCGAGAGATTTCGAGGATTAAAATGCAAAATGCGAATAATTATTTGGGCAACGCGTTTTGACGACAGATGCGTTTGGCACTAATTAATCAGTTGGGTTTCAATAATATTAAATTTACATATGCTAGGTTTTATTAGGGAATTAATTAATATGATTATGCTATCCTAATTCAGCTCGCTACTTTGATCCTAGCGTTTATATATATATTGTAAATTATCTCTATCTTTTATCACTTACGTTAGATTTCTTCTCTTCTCAAAGAAAGAAGATAGCACACAAGAAGAGATCATTATCCCAAGTCTTAGAACAGCGAAGAAATCTCGAAGACATATATAGTGCAAAGTGGTAAACGGATTCTTGATTAGGAATCAAGAATGATGTTTAGCTGCTGACATTAGTCCAATACAAGGAAAAATGAGAGGTGTGACCTCCATATATTATGACATTTGAAGTCTGACATCAATGAACCATGTGATCCATCAAAATTTTGTCGGTTCTCAAAACAGACGTTAAATCATTTGCAAAAAAGCAAAATCAATAAGTTTCTATCATTACTAACGTTTAAAACCTCCGTATCTGAATAATAGAGACCATATGAGGGGATTAATTACATATTACTCCTCTAATTTTTTATAGTTAAAATATTTTAATATTTTAATATTTAGATTTAAAAAATTTATATTAAAATTTTTATAATTATAAAAGTGAAAAAAACTAATTATACTTACCTAACTTCATCGATTTTATAAATGAAAATATAAAAATAATAGACAAAAAGATAATTTCAACATCCCAATTATATTTTTGATCATGACGAACAATGACATTGTTAGGAGTTGCGAGTGACTATTGTGGATGAGAAGAATGAACAACGAGAAAAGGTGAGACGATGACGAAAATGGCAACTCTCTATATTTGCATCGATACTGACACAAATACAAATGTAGAATATAATCGTTTTGTATCTATATCGACGTCGACAACGATGCTAGGAAGAGCAACGCCACTCTGCATCTACATCAACGTCAACACAAACGTTGAACGACCCTTTCGATACTCTACATCTACGTCAGTGTCAACATAGTTGACGAGTAACACCAACACAAATACAAAGCGTCAAAACCTATTTTATCGCCTCACCTCATTGCTCTCCCTCTTTATCCACAATAACCACTCATGACCCCTAATGGAATAATTATATGCCACTACCGAAAACATAATTAATATATTAAAAATATTTTTTTACTTATCATTTTTAAATTTTCGTCAATAAAATCGATGACGAAAGGAGGTTAAAACCTCCAACTAAGTTTTTATAATAAATGTTGCTTTTGTTTTAAAAGAAAGGATGATAAAGAATAACTAATCCAAGACACGATCATGGATGAAATAGGAAAGCAACGAAGGCACGATCATGACTAAACCATATCTGGCAAAAAATTTATTTATTATTACACCAAGAAAAGGGATTGTCCAAAAAATCAAGATCGATCACAGCATTGGCATCAACCAAATCAGAAGTTGATGCTCGCAAAACTATTCCCGGTAGCTTTCTCATCTCCTTTGTTGCAATTACATAAAATATAAAATCACCAACCAAAAATCAAAGTTACTAATATCAGAAACCTGTACTGATTTGGACCCCAAAATTTTTTGCCAAGAACCATCACTACAACAACTATGGTACGTCCAAAACGTAGTTAACAAGTAGTACATCAGAGAAAAATAGCTTCTTTCTTTCTATTTTTTTTTTTTTAATCTTGCCCATCACTTAAACTTCAGTCACATTATTACCTCATATTCATGGTTATTGCAATTTCTTCATTACAGGTAGCCTTAACCCCTCAAGTTTACAAATTTTGACCACACAAAAGAGTGGCTAATTTGACAAGACACTGTTATTTGAAATAACAAATACACTCAACCTCACAAGACATCACAGTTTGATAAATTAGTGAGGTCAAGAATGCTGTCCAAATGTGATTACCTAGACAGAAACACCAGCTAATCCGGTTCCCCATTCATCCAAAATTGAGGATTCAGTCTTTCAAATTGTTTGGCCTGCAGGGACAATAGATAAATCGAGATTTACCTTCTTCACGTTGACCTAAATTAACTAAAATTTGCTTCCAATGAAATTATCTGTCAGATGAAGAACTTCTAGGCTAAAAAAACATGTTAGATTAAGCAACAACCATATTCACCACCTTGTAAGTAATTCTGCTGAAAGGAACAAAACCTTCATTTGCAACACAGGCGCCTCTTTGACCACAAGTTAATTATCTCCTTTCCCAAAGCCGTCCATAAAGCCCATGGAGACACAAGAAACTCGGTGGCACAACTACTGAAAAGTTGATCATCGACAAAAGAACACACAGATTCATGGCAAAAGATTCCCGCAAGCAACATTCGTCAGATGACAAACCCCTTTGAACGATTACTTTGTCCGGATTGATTATGCTTTCCCCTGTTGGTCAAAGTGAGACTTATGCATTTGAGAATTTTAAGGGCACAGAGAAAAAACACGGTCATGAACTAGAGTGTAATATATCATGCTTGAATAAGAACTTTATATCAAAAAACAACAATCAAGTGGCTTAATTTATGGCCTTCAAACTTTTGACTAGTATCCTAAGGGACAATCATATAAGTAAAACAGCTAATAGATGATGACACATCAATGAGTAAACAAACAGCTTAAAGGATCTGTCATAGTTGCACCAAAGTACCTGAAGGTTAAAGCAACTGATATTATGCTCATGCTATTTTGGTTCATCTCTATGTGATGTCTTGATATAACAAAATGCATATCCTGCATGGTATAGTTCTGAACCATTTCATATCTAACCTGCTCAGTCCCAAAGTACCTAAAGGTTAAAGCAACTGATATTATGCTCATGCTATTTTGGTTCAGCTCTGTGTGATGTCTCGATATAACAAAAAGTATATCCTGCATGGTATAGTTTGGAACCATTTCATATCTAACCTATGCAGCCTGCATGAAGACTAAATCCTGGATTAATGCCTCTTCTAGGTATGATAGCATCTGAACCTTCAAGCTCCCTGAAGGTAATCAACTGCGGTAAGGAAACATTATAAAATAATGACTGGCATACTAGCAAATCATCTCCCTTCAAATAAAGTCCCTTGGTTACCCACACAACATATACATATATGACTGAGAATTTCTAATGCCAGCTAAGTCATCATATAAATCTTCTTATCGAAAATAACTACTCTGATGAACATAAAATCTTAAGTAACTAATGCTAAAGAAGAATGATTAGCTACAATTTCCAGATATCACATGTCAGAATTAAACGATCCCATTCCTGGGTGCCACTTTAAGTTGCCACTTGATACCTAGGTGTCAAGACTTTAAGCTAGAAGGAGAGTTTCTGCGTTTGCAAGGGCAAAACCCAGATTGGTAGGAGACTTGTGCACTTGACTTCCCATTTAAAAACCAGAATAAGTAAAGATAAACTTAATTCCTCAGTTCACTGCTGACAAGGGGAATGGTAGAACAGATATAATATCTCAATTAACTACTGCCTGCCGCCTCGGCCCCCATTCTTGATCAGCGCACTCTCCCACTCTGGAAAGCAAGAAACCAGTTGCTACCCAGAAGTCTTACCTCGGCAGAAGGAGAATGATGAACTACAATTTTGAAATTTAAGAAGTTATCTCATTTTTCTTTGGTACCGAATGAACTTTTAGAAGATTTTGATACTACACCTGCTTCCTAATGTGTCCTTCCCAACTCAAAGTGCTTTCAACAAGAACTATTTCACCAAGATGAAACTCAGCTAAACAAGAATAATTTGTCAGTATTCTTTTTTTCTTTGAATATTTTTAAAAATCCTAGAATATATATGTTCAAAATGCAACAACATAAACTAAACCATGATTTCTATATTTAATGCTATTCCTATTTGCTTCACTATAAATTTGTTATCCATTACAGCTCCAAATGTACAACACAAATCCTTGCAATCTCAATTTTAACAAAAGCATTGACTCAATGCAACTGTAAAGATGCTTCATACTGACTCTTCTGGTAGTTATATAGTTTATGTGATCCAGAAATCAGTGTCATATGTCCTAGAAACACAAAGATATTATTGACAGTGACATGGCTGTCCTACTCATGGACAGTCCTAGTGTTTGAGTAGTTCAACTACCAGAATAACGAGTATATTTTGATAGACAACATAAATGTTCTAACCACTGGGGCATCCAATGGTGTGACATAAAGTTCCCTAGAAAACGGAAGATTATATGGTAAGGAAATACATAGATACCCTCCTAGTAATGGAACCACTTCCTAAAACTCTTAACCAAAACTGTTTCAGGAAGATTTTGCAAATCATGGACACTGCACATATGTTCTCTAATCCACAATCTGGCAAAGATAACCTCGTTCAAACAAATTCTCCTGAACATGGTGTTAAGTCAGCAATCCTAGTGTGAGGGGTAAAATAAAATTTGGATTAATTATTATAATAAACAAATCATTCACCTGTATAGACAGACTTGGAAATCAAACTCAAGGTATTGCAGGTTTTAGGCAAAGTCTGATATTTTGATGCTATCTTTCATTTTCATCTGCATATTGTTTCAAATTTGACCTCCAACAAACTAAAAGCCCTTTCAGATATCAGCCTCTATCCTAAAAAATACCTGACAAGTGTTAAGGAGCTTTAAATTCCGATTGACATTGCTCAGGCACCCAACAAAATCAATCAAGCATGAATGCTAAATCATTTTGTTTATTCGAGCTTCTTAGACAGGTATCTTCCAAAATCTCTTAACCAGATAACAAATTTCTTATACAAGTAACTTTTTATTAGACTGATTTTCCTCTATCAAGTATCTTCAGATAAATCTGGAATACATCAAACTTCTAAACCCCAACATGGAACTAAAGAATTCAACTTCAATGCACTAAAATAATTTACCTCAAACAATTAAGAAGAAATCAACACACCACAAAGCTTGAATCATCCACTGATACTGTAAACAATCTAACAATCCACTGATAGTTTTAAACAATCTCAGTTATTAGGCAAACACAGAGAGAAAGTTAATTAAACTGGAAAAGCTTAAGATGCGAACAACCAGTAAAGGCAGGCAGAAGAACTTACATTGTAAATGTTTGAACAAGTGATATTGACCTTTCATATTCATCTTTAGAAACAGGTATTGCCTCATCGTGAACATCCTGCTCTGGAGCCCTTGGTCTTCCCTGTGGTCTTGATTCAGGCTTCCAACAAACTTTTGCTAGAGACTGACCGAGTAAATCGGCAATGTCCGTGGCCATTGTCTCAGCCTTGCGCGCATAAGGAAATGTATCCTCCTTGAAATGATGCGATAACCACATGTACATTGACAAAACCTGATGCTTTGTCTCAAGGTCCAACAACTCAGCATCATTTTTAGCTGAACCTTTTGGCATCCCCATTGCTATAGTAACCGGGCGATTCTGGCTATAGTGTGAAGCAAAACGAAGGAGATGATACATTGCCTTGGGATCCCTAATATTGACTGGTGCAAAACAGAAATTAAAACGATCTTGAAGCGACAAGACCGGTATCTTTTCCAGCATGTTGGCAACTTTTCTAACACTATCATGCTGACACAAGAAATAGTAACCATCAAGGCGGCAGTTCTCACGGAACTTGTCCAAAAGCTCACAGAAAGTTGCTTTCGGGAACTGTGCAGCAAACAACTCCACCTGCTCAAAGAATGGAAACAGTCCAACTTTCTTCACCTCCTCAAATGGTTGCTGCAAGCACTCGATCAAATAATCCAAATCATCCAAAATGAAGGTTGTCGCAAGGCCGTCAGGGTAAACGCTCCCTCTCCGTCCGGCTCTTCCAGCTATTTGCTTCACCTGGGATGCGGGAACTGGCACCATTTTATCACCATTGTATTTCGATAATGAATAGAAAACAACCCTTCTTATGTTCAGATTCAGGCCCATCCCCACAGCATCACTAGCCACCAGAACATCGTACTCATTGTCCTGATCATTGAACAAGCTAGCCTGCAGACGCCTGGTCTCTGGCGGCAGTGCTCCATAGATAACACAGCATTTGTGCTTGGTCAACTTCTCAACTGCCATCTTCACCTCAAAGATCTCCCTCCTCGAGAAGGCCACGATGCAGTCACCTGATCGCACATTTGTCATATTGCCTAGCAATGTCTTCGCCTCTACCACCAGGGGCTTGAACCGCTCGTAGCGGTTCACCTCCAGGTCATCGCCTGTTTCCTTGCAAACATTCTCGACTACTTTCAGCACGCTCGGGTCTCCGCACAGGTGGATCTCGTCGGCCTTGAGGCCGAGTAGTGCACGGGTCCAGGCGTAACCCCGTGTGGGGTCAGCCATCATCTGGACCTCATCGATTACAGCAACGTCGTAACACTCCTCGGTGGATACCATTTCGATGGTGCAAGCGACATGGTTGGAGAAAGGAAGCGTCTTCTTTTCCTGACCGGTGTGGAGGCTGCAGTAGACACCGGTGGCGTTCACCCGATCGAATACCTCCATGGCGAGGAGCCGAAGAGGACTGCAGTAGATGCCACTGCTGGCCTCCATGAAGCGAACGAGGGCATTGTGGGTCTTCCCGCTGTTGGTGGGGCCGCAGTGGTAGATCACACGGCGGCGCATGGCACGGGCGAATGGGAACCAGGTATGGGGGCGGGTGAGGTCAGCGGACTCCATCAAGGAGCGGAACCCACGGAGCTCGTCCGGGAACTCGTGGAGGCAGAACTCGGCGAAGATGGGGAAGAGGAAGCGGTCGGCGGCCAGGGACGGACCAAGGGCGGAGAGGTGGCGGAAGGCGACAGGTGGGCAGCGGCGGAGGAAGAAGAGGCGGAAGCGGCGGGCAGCGGTAGGGAAGAAGGACGAGGGGATGTAAAGCGCGAGGGCCTGGTCGGAGGTCCACGGGGACTTGGCGAAGGAGCGGAAGACCCCGACAAGGGCCTCCCACTCGCTGCGGCTGAGCTTGGCGGAGCCGTCCTGGGCGGCGCGTAGCTCCCGGTAGACGGCGGCTGGGTCGGGCGGAGGGTCGCCGTCGGTCGCGATGGGATCAGGGGCTAGGGTTTGAGGGGAGGAGGTGGCGGTGGTGGAGAAGGAGAAGAGACGCGGTGGGAGCCATGGGGAGGAAGGGGAAGGGGATGGGGAAGGAACCAAGGGCAGTCGAAACCCTAACACTAATTGGGGGTGTGGGCGGGAGAGGAGGACGCGAAAGCTCGACAGGCAGGCGGGGCGGAGGCGGGTGCGGAAGAAGGAGGAAGCCATTATGGCGGAAGAGGGGATGTTGCAACAGAGGGTGAAGAAGGGGGAAAACGGTGGAGGAGGCGAGAAGAAAGCGAGCGTCTATATTGAGGTTGGGAGGGCGGCTGGGTCGGGAGGGTTTGTAGCGGGACGGCAACACGGACGTACCGCAGAAAACGGGTTATAGTGAGAGGTAATGGCTCCTCGTCGAGTCCAGCGTTCGCAGGATACTGTGTTATACGAAACTGTTTTGGGCAAACTCGCTTAGAAGACCTTCTAATCATTTTTTCACATAACCTCCTTGTTTTCTTTATTTTTTACCTAATTTTAAAATAATTAAAGGAACCCTCAACCACTCTCTTTTTTTTTTCCCCTCCTCTCTCTTACTTTTCAGATTCATTATATTGTATTGAATCAAATCATTATTTTAAATTTACCCAAAACTTGAATAGATCCTAAATAAATAATACTAGTATAGTATATGAATGTGCTGATTTTTTCCAAATCTAGCTAAATTTGACAAATGGATTCATCCATGAACCAATTTACAATATTTACACTTGTTAATTAGTTTGGATGTAATGTTGATAGTTTGGTTCAAAAATAATAGGATTTGGATACTGTTACACTATGTTTGGATCTTATTAAAAAATAATATAACTGGACCTGAAACTTGTCAAGACAAACTCCTTTGAAATGATGTAAGATACACAAATTATATTATTTTCCCTTTTTACCATTTTTAATAAGTCATTTATTATGGTGTATTCAGTATGTGAATAAACTGGATTTTTCTGATTTCAACTAAAATTTAAAAATTTAATGAATCCATTAATAAATTTGTAAAAGTTACACTTGTTTATTAGTTTAAAGTTTGATTCAAAAATAATAAGATTTTGGATATAGTTATACTATTTTTGGTCCAAAATTTATCAAAATATAAATCCCATATACCACAAACAAGTGTAATTTCATTCCAGTTATTCTATTTTTCAATAGGTACCAACAATAGTATAACTATATTCAAATCTTATTATTATTTTAATCAAACATTCAGAATTACTTCCAAACTTAGTTAAAAAGTATGAACATTACAAATTAGTTCATGGAAGCATCAAAATTTATGATATATAATATAATTTAAAAAAGAGCTTATTTATATGTTGAATTAATCACAAAAAAAGACATTTGAAATCCCAAATATTGAAAAATTATATCATTTTATGTATCTAAGACCATTTCAAAAGTTTCGGAAAGTTTGAGTTTGTTTTGATAAGTTTTAGTTACATTAAATTTTTTTTTTGATAGGATACAAAATAATATAATTGTATCCATATCTTGTTATTATCATTAATCAAGCTTTCAGAATTACTTCCAAACTAATTAACATGTGTAAATGATACAAATTGGTTGATAGATTCATAAAAAATTGTCAAATTTATCTGAGTTTAATAAAATCCAACCTCATTCACATACTGAAAATACCAAAAAAGGCTCATTAAAGGTGATGCTTGCAAGGATGACGATATTAAAAGGCCGTATGCCTAAACAACTAATGCTCATGCTTAGAACATGCAAAGTTGAACAACTCACAGAATCATTTTCCACTTGCATCACAATCTGCTTGCGTAAAGCTTTGCTCGAATGAACTTCTTCCTGCATAAAAATCAGCCGAGGATATCATCTTTCGTTCTGATGAGTAAAAGACGAAGAGAAGCCAGCGAGCAAAGATTATGAGAAGGAAGAGCATCCGGGCTAACCAATAAAACAGCAAGGAAGCACAACTTCAGATAGATAGAAGCAACTGTATGATCAAATTTCATTTTTGTGCTAACAGAGTTTAATTTTCAGATTGTTGGCACACTGTACTTTGGATTCCAAGTCCGGTAGAGTCAAGAAAACGAAGGGCCTGGGCATATATTTCTTCCTGTGGTTTGGGAATCAGTAGTGTTGGGCTGTCCTAAACCATAAAGAACTTTGTAACCATGGAAGCTTAAGCCATGAAGAGGTGCATCCCTGGATAAGTTCTAAATACTTTCATCAAACACTAATTGAATAGTCTTCTCCAGCCTATCTATTACTTACCAAACAGATCTATGGCCAAGCTGATGACTAACAAAACAACTGCAACTGTCAATGTTCTCTCTCTATTTTAACCTCGCCTCACCTCACCTAAAAGGTGCATAGTTCAGTCTGCCATGGAGTGATCCATCACCCACCTCGACCGAACTACAACCAACATTCTTTTTCACTCTCTTGTCACCCATCAACTTCCTTATCCTCGCAACATCCTCCCACCTCTTAGCAGTAGCATATACATCAGACATAATGGAGTAGATCCCACTGTCCTCAGGGTTCAGCTGCAAAAGATGCTGAGCTGCAATTTCTGCGATCTCCACATTGCCCTGTATTCGGCAACCAGCGAGCATGCCTCCCCACACATATGCATCGCCCTTCATCGGCATCCCTTTTATCATCTCCATCGTTTCCTCGACCAACCCGGCCCGACCAAGCAAATCTGCCATGCACCCGTAGTGCTTGAGCTCGCGTTCGACACCATATATGCTCTCCATCTCATCAAAGAGACTCCGAGCCATTTCAATAAGTCCTGCATGGCTGCAGGCCACCAAGACTCCTAAGAAGGTCACCCCATCTGGCTCAACACCCACAGCTCGCATCCTATCAAAGTACTCCAGTGACAGCTGACCGTTCCCATGCACGGCGAGGCCAACGATAATAGCATTCCATGTAAACAAGTTCTTCCGTGGTGTTGACTCGAAAATCTCCACGGCAACGCTAATGCAGCCACACTTTGCGTACATGTCCACCAGCCCCGTCGACAGATAGACATTAAGTTTAGCCCTGTTCTTCTTGATGTACTCATGGATGGCTTCACCTCGGTCCAATTTCCCTAGCTGAGCACAGCAAGAGAGTACCGAGACCAAAGCAACCTCATCAGGCCTCGTTCCCGTCGCAAGCATCTGATCAAAGAATGAGATGGCTTCCTCGAACTGACCCATCTGCGAGTAACCCGCCAAGAGCGTACCCCACGACACTACGTCTCTTTCAGGCATATCGTCGAAGAGTTTGCGTGCAAAGGCAAAATCACCAGCCTTGACGTAACCGTCGATCAAGGTGTTATAGGTGACGACGTCGCGAGCCGACGGGCACTCATCGAAGAGGCCTTGGGCTTCCAGCAAGGAGAGGCAGGAATTGTAGGTGCTGATCAAAGAGTTGCGGACGTAGAGGTCGGCGGCGAAGCCGAACTTGAGGGCTTGGGAGTGGAGGGAGCGGCCGAGGTTGGGGGAGCGGAGGCGGGCACAGGCCTTGAGGACGAAGGGGAAGGTGTGGGAGTCGGGAGCCACGGAGGAGCGGCGCATGTGGGCGAAGAGGAGGAGGGCGGGGATAGGGGAGGAGAGGAGGGTGTGGACCCTAATGAGGAGGTTGTGGGGGAAGGTTGAGGGGCTGGGGATGCTGCGGAAGAGGGCGAGGGCGTAGGCGGTGCATGAGTCGGCGGGAGGGAGGGAAGGGGGGATGAGGAGGAGGGTGAGGGAGAAGAGGATCTTGGTAAAGGCGAGAGAGGGGTGGAGGGAGGCGAAGCCCTGAACGGTGATCCGGGCATGGATGGACTTGAGCTGGTGGAGGGTCGTGCACTGGTCTCGGTGGAGGAGATGGAACAGCGGGTGGTGATGGCGGTGGGAGAGTTGCATAGAAACCGCATTCGAGGGTGGAAATTTGGAAGAAGGGCGGCGGATTCCGATGGGAAATCACAGCCCATATACACAGAAGCGTGCACTCGTTATTTGATTTCGTCTGGTGTGTGCATATGACATTTTTTACTTTCTCATATTGTATTTAAAATCTCACACAAATATAGGGAAACCAACTACTATGCTCATTGGTTGGCAAGTTGTGCTCTAGGGAACTTACATACAAATACCTAATCCGTCGTATGCATGTAAGATATTTTGAATGATGCTTGTCTGCGGGTGTGACAATGGGCTCCTCTCGGCCGACCAACGTCGTCCCCACGTGACAACTGACGTCAGCTAGATAGATACATCTATAAACACGTCCTGCATATCGATTCTATCTTCAATCCTTCATTTACCAATCAGACAAATTCTCTGTTCTAACACAACCAGCTACCAAGACGATCTCAAAATTTTGTCGAACACTCTTCTGTACAATACAACACTTTCTTTGATTTTTTTTTTGCAAAAAAAAAAAGCCACCAAGACGATCTCAGGGCCCGATCGCAGGAGCAGGCGGGAGAAAGGACTGGGGACCTGAGCTCAACATAGTTAATGATCAAAACCTGCTGGAGAAACATAAGAATCCATCTCTTACAAGAAGAGCATAGGTTTACATCGATCATGTATCGAGTACTAAGCACCTATCTTATAAGTACTTGTAGTAGAGACCAAGACATATCGAATGACTTACAAGTAATTTATACTTCAAATCTAGATGGAAGCTCATGGAGTTCATAAAGCATACTGCCACCATTTCACCATGATAGTATCTTTTTGTTCAACACATCCATATTTTGCATAAACTACATATCCTTCTTAGTTGCAGAGAATCATGTCTTTTGTGCCTCGAGGACAATTGCCTTCATAATTAATGAAGCATTGTCCTCCATAGCCATGACAATAAAGAGCCTTGGAGCTACTTTCAAACCCTTGAAGTAATGGACAAAACCACACATACGGTTTCAAGAAGTCTGGATCTGCAGATCTCGGTTGCAAATTTCTTGACGTGATATACATGTTCTGCAGTTTTTCTGCAATACAAAAGTTATGCCTGCTTTATTCCCACAGTGATAGCAGTCCACAAGAATTTTTTATACATAAACTGTTGGAAAAGTACCTTTATCAAATTCCCAAAAGCAGAAGTAATAAGCTGCCTGATTGGTACCACAATTATTGATATGGAACTTCAACATTCAAAGTGATGCCATTTATTTAATTTCTTAAACTTGTAACAATTTAAGAGAATAAAATTTACCTATTATTTTGCAAGCTCAGAATGGAATAAGAACTTATCAAATGGGGGGTGATTCTGGACCAGTCAGATGCTCGTCTCCTCTAAAACTACAGGTAGGTCTAAATTCTCACTTCCCCTCTGAATCTTAAGCAGAACAGTGTTTCCAACATTATACTCATCCAAAATCTTCAATAGATCAGCTTTGCTGCGAACCTGATAGGTAAATGTAAGATTTTAATCAGATAATGTACTTGTAACAGAAATGCCAGTACTGACACTACAATCTTGATTGGCAAAGTAAAAGATTGAAAGGGGAAAATTGTGGAAGCTCTATAGTCTATACACACTCACAGGTTTATTATCTACCGCAACGATAACATCCCCAAGAACAATATTACCAGCTAAACCTCTTGTGGTAGGTAGCAAACCTGCTTTGGCTGCAACACTATTCTCAGGAATCTACAATGCAAATTTAAGATTCTTTTTAGTAAAAAGACATAACCCTTGCAACATGAAAAATTATCAAAAAATTCTTCACAAAATCTACAAGCTCTCGCAATCTGTGTCTACAGAACAATCTAACCCCACATCAAGATGTACCTGCAGCACAAGAGCTCCATTCCGAACATTAAGTTGATTAGCAACTAGATCTGGCGCTATCTCCATATTTAAACCAGCACGCACAACCTTACAAGATCAGGCTATTTAAGAAGCAGATAAAAGAATGTAATTGCAACAATATAATCCCTTGAATGAAAAAAAGAAAGCAAAAAAGCTAAGTGAATATCTCAGATTCAAAAGTAGTAACTTGAATACCCAGCTTACCAGCATGTCTAATCATGTACCTATCTTACTTCAATATAAATTCTAGACAGGAATGAGTCGGTAAATCCTTCACTTTCTAGGTATCCTCAGTGTCCTCCCTTCTTTACAGTTTCATCCAAGTCGGTAAATCCTTCACTTTCTAGGTATCCTCAGTGTCCTCCCTTCTTTACAGTCTTCTCATTGCTAACTATTTTGTATTGAGGAGTCTACAATTTCAGCTAAAATTGGTCAAAACAGAGAGAAGTGCTAGGTAAAGCTTTTCCAGGTTTACATCATCCTCCCAAAGATTTCTTGTAGCTGCATGTGTTGCACGAGAAAAAATGTGTTCCTACTTATTGATTTAAATTAAATAGTTGAAGACAACTGTAAAATAAAGATGCCATATGAATGTCTAAGTACCAATAAAGAAACCAAAGAAGCCTAGCTTCTGCAAAGGAAGCATATACCAAATTAATAATTCATATGTAAGGTGAACCTACTTTTCCAAATTGGATTAGCTGAGGGACAATCCTAAGTACAGTTGAAGACGGGATGGCGAATCCTACACCTGCTGAGGCCCCTGCAATATGTAGATATTTTAATAATCTTAGTATCAGGCACAAAATACACAAAAGCAAGCTACTTGTTAATTAGAATATTTTGCTTCATACTCTTCAATAGACAGAAAACATGCAGTTTTACAACAAAAAATAATATCTGACAGTTTATTTGTTCAATTTAAATACTTCAAAATTCAAAGCCTACTAATGATCATAAAGGTACAATCATAAAGGAGATTTAATGATCATAAAGGTTCACCACATCATCATCAACATCATCTTCTTATCTCCACCACATGGATCACTTCAACAACAACAACAATAAAGCCATATAATCACTAGTATTTGGGGTTGGGATATCTTGCCACAACTGAGCTCTATAAGAAGTCATATCCTTGGTTTAACTTAAGAATAATTAAATCTTTATTTATAGTTTCTAATAAGGTCTTATAGATATCCTTCCACCTCTCCTCGCACACCTTATAAAGTGAATCATAAAGTGATTCGATTTTAACCACTTATGCCAACGAAGTTGTTGATGCAGGACTACTGCTCTATTCCTTGATAGATTGGTACGGGTACTGTATCCGCCATCTAATATTGATACTAGAATCAAGATTTTAATCCTTGCTCAAATCAATAGTTACAATTAGTGCATGCTTACTCTAAATATCGTCGTCTTGGTAAAAGATTTACATTGTGGAAAAAAAATCAAAACCAAGTTTGACTTTGAATTCAGGTACAACTGTTACCTGTTAATACTGTGACCACATACAGTTGTGACCAGTGAAGTCAATATAGTTTGATTTACATCTTATGGAAAAGAAACATGACAAAGGAAAATTGAGTCCTCCATGCAAAATACATTGCTCGACTGCAAAGTTTTCTCATAACATCATACCACTGAATAAATGAACTCAAACCTTTACCTGTATTTGTGAATATTGCTGTGTTAATTCCAATCATGTTTCCTTTCGAGTCCAGCAAAGGACCACCACTGCCAAAATATCCATTCAAAGTATCAACTTCCTATCTAGTTACATGGCGGAAAAGAAACTTACAACTGATTCAACTAAAAAGTTCTCTCTAGTAAAAGAAACTTCAACTAGGTAGCACAACACGATTTCTATCACAGTTGGCATTCCGTTAATATTTAATTTAAAAAATAATTGGTCGACTTTGGTTTGCTTCAAGTTAAAATCCCTGCTAGATAAAAAGATGAAACTGTTATCTTCCCCGGATACTTTGGTAGCCACGGAAGAGCTTAGATAAGCATCACAGGAGAGAATGTGCGGGTGAACACAATTAAAAAATTATTAGCAGTTAGAGTAGATGGACCTCCACCCTGCTTTAAGCAAAAGAAGAAGATTATTTCAAACGAAAAAAAAGGCAAAAGAAAGGGATAAGTTGGAGAGAAATTTATGCATGTAAGTAAAACAAGTTATGCGCGAGACCATAAGCTCCCAAACGATGTCATTCTTTTGGTTAATCAACTTATTGTGTTTCTTCTCAGTGAACCTAACCGGTGGACTTGTAGGTCATTATGCTACAGAAAACATAGTCAAAATCATCATAGTTCATTTAATGTCAATATGAAGTATATTCCAAAATTGGAATTTTAAATGTTAAAGTAATAAGGAAAAAAAAACTCCAACAGGAGTCCAAGACGCAAGAAGGTTCTCAAGGACAAGAACATCCTTCAACTTTGCATATTCTATAATCATCTTATCAGTTCATAGATATCCAAATTTCACACAGAAACTTTTTCTTTTACTCTGAATGGTTTACCAAATAGATAAGAGAAGCAGAAGATAATCTGGTGAACTCAGTTTTTGGCTATTTATATGGAACACACTACAAGAATATGAAATTTGCAATAATATTTGCTTGGACAGAGAAGCTAGACTGATTTAGTATTGAATATTCGAATGTACCTCAAACATTTTCAAATAAACTTATAAGCAAAACAACATTTGGGCCCAGGAGATCCAGAACTCACCTATTTCCAGGATTGATGGCTGCATCTGTCTGAATGCCACCTCCAATTGTCACTCCAGTTTTGCTAACAATATCGCGATTCAGTCCACTAATAACTCCAACAGTAAGAGTATGATCAAAACCAAAAGGATTTCCAATTGCTAAACACTGCTGGCCAACTCTTAGGACTGAAGACTGACCGACATTAATTGGCTTCAAAAGATCCGCAGAGGCATCCACCTGTAGTAAAGTAGTACAACAAGAAAATTTTCACAAGGATATTCCTACAGAAATAAAAGGATTTACTTTATTGACACTGCATGGAACTTGAGTTTGTGGTTTCAGAGTTCAGAGAACTTCATGTTCTCTGAATTTGCTCACCATACATGTTCTATATTGCAATCTGTTAGCTTCAGAAATATTGGAACCTTTCAGATCTTTGAGGAATACTGCCAAAGTGTGTGAACACCTGAAGAGAAATACTACACTAAGCCATAAAAGATCTTGTTTTTCATTACTTTTTTTGCATGTATCGCATGATGGCAGACTTTTCTATTATTTGATCTTTTTATGCCTTTTTTAAGGCAATTATTGCCCTTTCGCAAGCACAACCAAGAAGTTTAAATTATATGATAACTTTTCATCTTAATTAGAAACCATTGTGATGTCACGATTTGTGCTTCATCATAGACTCTAACCTGTTAATTTGTGCTTGTCCATCATCAATTTGTCTGCCAGTGTTCTATTGTACGAAGTGTCAGACATAGTTAATAGTTATTTTTTTACGAATCCTCATTTTAGAATCTCTGCAAGTTATCATATTACTCATAATCTAGTTCATTTACCCTTTAAGGTGATACTCTAAATGACAACAGTATCAAATGCAAAAGTTGGTTAACAACCTTGCAAGCAAGATAATTTGGGTTGTCAAAAGTTAGCTTGGATCACAACAATTAACATCAATAATCTTTTTAGCAAAACCATCGAATTGAAGTAAAAGATCTACCTTTAAGACAGCAAGATCTTTAGCACGATTTGCACCAATCAGCCTACCCTCAAAGGTCTTTTGTACCCTTTCAAGAAATGAAAATGCTTATAAGAAATAAATGCATTATAGTAAATAAGGAAATAAACATTAGCTACAAAAATAAGCAGTACATTCATTCCTGGGGATTAGTAGAAAATCTTACCCTTCAGCAACAAGGATGTTCACACGTGCAACAACTTGATCAGGGTTTGGATTCTTTGAAAGAGCATTGCCAACAACTAGAAAAGAAGAAGATAAAGAAATAAATATCAAAACTCACAACAAGAAAACAGAAAATATTAGCTCCATCATAACTGTCCCATCCATCAAAACATGCAAAACAGCAGACATGGTTACTACCAAAAATAACAGCAGAAAAAGGCAAAACTAGTAATTATGCACAAAAGATTTCCCTACAAGTCAAATATCTATTACATTGACTAATAAAATTAGTGGCTCTTACCGTGATAATTTGTCACAATGTGTCCAAATTTATCCCAAACAACTCCAGAACCATTTCCTTCAGGCACCTGGACTTTGTAAATTCAAAGGAAAAAAATAGATAAAAGACCAATAGATAATGGAATTTCTATAACAAGTCATACCCTCGGCAAATACTGTCATATCCAAAACAATG